CCCCAAAACCCCAAAACCCCAAAACCCCTAATTAGGAAGAATAGATTGAAAATGCAGTTTAAACCCCATGGTGAGCTACATTTCTGACAATACGCCGGATCAATCTGCGGACTTTCTGAGGTCTTTGAGATTTAGGAGCAAGGAAACCTGGTTCGGTCTTTTTCTTAGCAAGGACTTTGTTGGCTTTGATTTCAAACAATTTCTGCTCCCATTCATTTTTCTTTTTCTCAAGAATAGAGCCAGAATCATCAAATTCTTTAAATTGATATTTAAGCATTTGAAAGAAATCTATTGTCCAATTTTTGTCTGATTTATGATTTTCTAAATGGAGATCAAACAAATAATACTTTTAAAGAACTCTTGAATATTTTTGAGAACTTCTCGATGTCTTTCAATATCTTCTTTCAATAATTTTCACACCTCACGTCATTCTCTCGTTCATCCTAACAAATTTTTTTCTTCATTTTCTTCATATTCCATCTCTCATTCAACTCTAATCGCTACAAAATCATCAAACTTTAACTCAAACTAATCATTTTTCAAATTTTTAAAAACCAGGGTACTCTAAATCCTACCTCTTTTTAAATATCGATCTAGAGTTCCCAAGAAAACTTTCTCTTCATTAGTTTCTTGGCATAATTCCACTAGTTTCAGCCCTTTAGTCTCTAACTTCCTATATCTTCCCTTTACAGGTCCTTCTACGAACAGATAAAACACTGGGAATCAAGCCAGGCTAACAATTAAGAATTGTGGCTTCCCAGTATATAAGAACAAGAGCACTGATAATGACAGAAAAGTGTACAGGGAGAGTTCCACTTTTCCTAGAATCTTTAAAGTGTTTTCAGCATCAATATACCCATTAATGGTAGACACAATTTCTGATTTGAGGTTATCAGGAGATTTACTATCTGTCTTAGTAGAAACAGGCTCTGGAGTCTCTGAATATAAATAATACCAAAGTTTTGATAAGGCATAACCAATCAGGACTCCAAATAACAGCACTAGGACTGCTAAATATTTTCTTTGTGGCTCATAGTAACTTATCCTCCGAATAAAGTTATCTCTAATAGTACTATTCATGTATTCCAGAGTGCTGACTTCTTCAATGATAGAGTTGGTTTCAACTATATAATTATCCTCCAAAAAGACTACCTTGGTCGCTATATTCCTGCATTTTTAAGAATTCAATGAAAAGTTATTGAAAAGGGGTTTTGGGGTTTTGGGGTTTTGGGGTTTTGGGG